GTCTAATGGATCGCTAATGTGACGAGCGGACGCTACCACGCCCAGCCTTTCCAATGCCCTGATCCGGACGTCACTAACGATTTCCAATGGCGCTGACCGACCACGGAGAGCTGCTGAGCTGTATCGAGGGTCTCCTGTCGAGAGTCGATCCGTCCCCCGAGCTCGTCCAGGCCGCCGGGAGACGTGCTCTAGAGCTCTCCGGTGTGTCGGCGGTCGGCGCTGAGCCGCCCGGGGGACTCTCCAGCGGCACTCGGCGCCACCAGCGATCGCAGAAGGTCACGGCGCTCGCCCGCGGCGGAGGTATGCGCCGTCGTGGTTTTATGGGGCTCCGAGTTGGCTGGTGCAGCCGATAGGGAAGCTCACCCCGGTGACCTGCGCCCGCGTCATACCTGCGCCGTGGTGTGTCGAGGCGAATCAGTGAGTAGGTAGACTTCGATATGCCAGTTGTGGGGAGTGTTGGATTCTTGCTTAAACTTTCGTGTAGACGTTTAGTGTAAACGTTTCTGTCAATCCCGTCAGCGAACATGCATCCGTATTGCATAGTCTCACTCGCAAATTGTAATCGCTGAAGCCAACAAATACTTTACAAAGATGCGATTACTGATGAAGCTATTCCTGATTTTGGGTTTTCTTTGCTGCATCCTGGGCCTTTGTTTACGGAATCAAGCATGGTTTTTAACTAACTATGCACCCGCTCTCAAAAGGCGAACGAAAGTTCCATGAGCTTAGTATTTCTGTAGCGGCCTATTTCATCGCCACGGCGCGTTGGAGCGCAGGAAATGTCTCAGGCAGGATGCAGTCATCTCGCCGGTGAGGACATCAGTCGATCGGTGTCCCGTGCCGCCATTGGCGCCGTCCTCGGGTTTCATTGATTCCCCGCCGGTCAGGTTCCGTCTGCGTCCGGCCGGGGGCTGTCCGCCTGCCTGTCCGTCCGCGGGGACACGCCCCTCCCTCCCCTGGTCGTTGGTCCGTGGCCGGAGGCAGGCCACGCTCTACATCACACGTGTCGCCGTGGCGGCCCACACAGCCGCTATCTGGGTTCAGAAGTGGCCAATACCCTAATTTTCGACAAATTTTAAAGTGTGATTTTCTCACATTTTCTGGTCGTAAATTGATCAGACTGTATAAAATATCATCCAGAAAAATATTACTCATTCTGGCACATATTGGTGGGCTCCCAAAGTACACCGTTTTGTTTTGCTCCGTGAGGCCGAACTTGTGCTGCGATTTTCATGTAAATGTTGACGAGTCTCCTGTCATATTCTTTGCTTGAACATGCGTAAGTAAGATATCAGCTGAAAGGGGAAAATGTGCGGAATCCATTGGTAACAAAAGTGCATCTAAAAAACTTCCCACTCAGTTATTGTAAGCTAATTGTTGCACACTTGCACAAAGCAGAAGGGCTTCAGGATTTCAATATTTACATAGGCCTACCAAAAAACGCACAGCGTGCTTCACATCGAGACAACGTCCATAACATATACCGTACAATTGTTATTCATTTGCTGAAAAAATTAGGTCGGCATCACACTGCCGGCAAAAGTTATTGCAGTTTTAGTGACGCTAGGTCGCCGCCCGGCCGACCCCGGTCAGGTCGGCCCGGGCGGCGGCCGTGCAGCTGACGTCCGTGCGGTTCGGCAGCTGACCAATCAGCTGCGAGAGAGGAGCGCGGTCCGTCTAATCGCTCCCGGCAGTTGCTTGTGCTGAGGGGTGCTCGACGCTCGTGTCGATTGCATTTGTTGGTTGTCGATTGTCGATTGACTTGTGGGCATACTTTCTGGTGACCAATAAATGTACGTCGTCTTAACTGAATGTAGTCTGATCAAATTCAATAAAGCAAATCAAATTCAATAAAGCAAAAAGACATCCAGCCAACAGAACATCGTAAGAATGTCCGATATGGTTGATAACATTAAGAGTTTTGGGGAGCAGCCATCGACCAGAATGAACCTTATTGGCTTTTGTATGTAACATTTGCATTGCTTTGGGAAAGTTTCAGCCAGATATCTTCAGAAATGGCAATGTTATCGGCTTTTGCATTTTACCGTAGTCGGTTAATCACAATTTTCGATATTGCAAAGGCAATTTCAGTACGTTCTTGACATCAAAAACCAAAACGAATAGCATCATCGTGTTCCAGAGCTCAAATTGCATCCGATGCACATCTTTTTTGTTGAGAACGTTCAACTTCAAAATTTGGCCTTCTGACCTCGCCGTGACCTGACCTTCATTTGTCGAATGAAAATAGTTTCGAATCGGACGACCCAGATGACATCATTTTTAGATGCTTTTGCCGAAATGGACCATTAAAGATGTGTCGCATGACCTTAAAAATGTTTACATTTCCTTCCATGACCTTTTCCATGACCTTGTGTGACCCATGACCTCTCCATGACCTTTTGTGACAAAGTTAGGTTTCGTTTGTCAGCTATTCCTATCAGAAGCCGTTTGAACTTTAGTATTGAACGAGTAGTTTCGAAGACAGCAGGGAAGCTATGCAGAATCCCCTCCCGAGTCACCCACGTTATGGGATATACCCGTCATCCGCGGATTACAAGCAAAAATATTTTTTACGGCAATGATGTATGAGTATGGATGCTCATACGTTCCCATATGTGACCTTACGGTTGACTTCACATACAATAAAAATTGCTTGGCAAAATGTCAACTGGTTAACGAGTTATCGCATTTTGGCCACTTCCGAACTCAAATAGCGGCTGTGTGCGGCCGGTCGGCACAATGCCGCCGCGCGGAGACAGATGGGCGCCGGGTCGGCCTGTGACTCCCTCGCTCAGTCGACCCGTCGGCCGCCGGCCTGCAGAACACACCCGGAGAGAAATGGCCCGTGCGCGTGGTGCATTACCGCTACAGTGGGTTCTCACATTAGCGTAGATGCTGCATAAATACGCCATTAGGCCTGGTGGTCTTGGCGATGGCGATGGCTGTTGATTTTTTTTCGTGTGCCGCTGTAATATTTAAATAAGTCCCAGTCGAATTTCACAATACCTTTACATCCTTTTACCTAGGCTCCCCCCATGACGTAACGATTAAAAGAAGCTAACGGCACTGGTGAGTTAATCGCCAGTACATGACAACATATGCATTTTTACATGGTTTTACATTTAATTAAGACCCGCAGTATCTCTGGCAAATGTTAAATCAATCAATTTCCAAGTTCCAGCTCACAGCCGAACCGATAGGGGAGAGTGGGGCACATTCGTGCATGGGGCACATTCGTTTTCAGCAGTTTATGGGAACACGAGTGACTGCACGAGCTCAAGGTAAATTATGGAAATATGTCTATCATTGCCGCCCTTCGTTCACCGTAGAAGACAACACTGTACCTGCTGTCATGCTTGATAAAAACGCAAATTTGTAATATTCGTGAGCTTTCCAAACTTTTCTCATATCATCCATTTTCGTGATCCTGACTCGGAAATGTGGTTCAGCTTTTCAAAATTGGGGGTGAAGAAGCCCACTCTATTCACGGAACTGCTGCAAACTTGTTTGTTGAAAAAGTGTCATTTTTTCAAAAAGAAATTTTGAAATATATTACTAATAAGGTTGTGGGGCAGGTTCGTGTACGCACTGCCTGGGGGTACATTCGTGCATATTTTTTTTAGTTTTTGCGATTTATGACTTTATCTGTACTAGGTTTCTCTAATGACGCTCGCCTGACTCAGTCTCGACTGCTTGCGACGTCGTGACGAGCAATTCACGCGAACTTGGCGAGGTCACGGAGGCCGGCAGTTGGCACATTCTTGTTGGCCAGCCCATTCTTTCTACATTTGTTGTGCAATGCATTCTTGTCGAAAGGAATCAAGTGAAATGACCCCCTGCCAATTTCCTTTGGTAAATTCCTGGTAATGCCCGGTAATTTCTCGAATTTTGCCGGGTGAACGGAAGTGCCCCATCTCTTGAACGAATGTGCCCCATAGGTGAGGCAGTTTCGTGCAAATGTTCAGAGTTAATAAAAGTCATTTTTTTCTAATGGAAGCAATAATTTTATAGGATAACTTTTAAAGAGGAAAACTATCTGCAATAGTTCCTTTCCATACTACAATCAACAATTTTGCCATTGCACTAACCAAAGAACAGATATATGGGTTTATCCATTTTTTGCACGAATGTGCCCCACTCTCCCCTACTCTTCATTGCGTAGTCTTTGTCTGGGTGTGTCATTCAGGGACTTCAGGAACCTTTAGAATCTTGCATAAAAGCTTCCATAGGAAGAATAGATCCGGAACCCTCTGACTCTCATTAAAACTGCCTGATTGGACGAATTCCGAGCTTTTTAGTTTCGTTTCAACTGACATTTCAAATGGCAGCTGCGACCATTTCAGCTGATCATTAAAACTTTGACCAGGGAGTTGAGCCCTGCAACCTACACTTTGGAGGGAGGTTCCGATGAGAGCGCGGCGCCATCGGCCCCGTTTAACCCGGATGTGCTCTGCGAAATGACGGTCAACGTGTAATCGATGTTGATTTGTTGGTCATCGGAGAGTGATGTCGATCTGGCAGTGAAAATATGGCCTGTAGTCGATTGTTAGCTGTATAAATCATTGCGATATATTTCCGATATTGTCCATCTGACATAATGCCGTAGTTTATCAACAAAAGTGCAGATAAAGCTGCTTGGTTCTATAGTTGATTTAGTGGCATTTTTGCCTTTCACGGAGTAGGTATTCTTTGTTACAGTATGTATGGCAGAGTGGTGTGTGTATGTGTGTTGCATTATGACTGAGTGTTGTTTATCTATTTACTGCAGTATGACCGAGTTTTGCTTATTTGGTACAGTATTACTGAGTGTTGTCCGTCAGTTTGTTGCAATATGACGGAGTGTTGTGTTATTTGTCTATTTGTGGTCCGCTTCTAAAAATGACCGAGATTTGTTTATCTGTTTGTTGCAGTGTGACCGAGTGTTGCGCGTCTTGTTTGTTATAATTACCGATTGTTGTTTGTTTCTCACAATATGACTGAGTGTTGTCTGTTTGTTGCAGTATGACCGAGCAGGGGTTGGACGCGCAGACGACTCTAGAATCTAGCGATCCCTGCCAGCACTCTCCACCCTGTCCCCTGCACACCGACACCATGATACCAGGTGAGACAGCGACTCCCAACTGCCCCAGGTGAGATAGCGGTCCCTGGGGATCCCTGTCAGCACTCTCCGCCCTGTCCTCTGCACACCGTCACCATGATACCAGGTGAGACGCCAGCTACCATTTACCTTTCTGTTCAGTAACTTTAAACTTTTACTCTGTATAGGACCGGTGAAAAACGATGAAAATGACGGTAACGGTGAGAGTAGGTAAATAACTAGGCAAGTAGAAAGCAAGTATAATCGGCGAGTAGTTATCGTTCTGCAAGGCCGTGTCTCTGTTTGTAGTCAGAAACTAAGTTCCAGTAGCTATTCACACTTGCAGCAGGCCTTAAATTGTCTTTGTATAAAATAGTTAGGAAAACTTAACAAACGATCGCTTATTTCCATAGAACACACTTCGGGGAATACACATTTACAAGCAGGGTAGCGAAACAAAACGTGACCCATACATAACTTTGGACCACTCAGCGCTTTAAAATTTGCAAGAAAAGTATACAATTACAAAAGCATTTCACATATTTTAAACCACAAGCACAAATACAAGGTAAACACAAAACAACAGATGCAACCATCAACACGGACAAAACACAAAACAAACAGACGAACAGCCAGACACACAAGCGCACCGCCAGGCTCGTTAGCGGACCGGGGATGACATTGACCAGTCGGATCACCGACCCGTTCCCGTTCGATGTGGGCATTTGGACCGGAGATCGATACAAATGAGCCACCACAATCTCGGGGTGAAGGCTCAGCGGTGACCTTTCGGCGGCGGAGGTCATCTCATCTGTGCCCCGAGGCACGCAGAGGACAGGTTGCGTGCTAACGAGGGTCGAGAAATTACGTTTTCTACAAAATGCGCCTGCCTTAGTTAACGACGCACTGGCGCCAGGTACATACTTCTGTTTAGCTTTTGGGTACTGCATCAAATAGATGTTTCACCTAATGCATGATCCCGATATAAAATGGTATCTATAGTCTCAGCGTTAGCCAATAACCATGGATCTATGATGGCTGCGGCAGCTCGTAGTCCCGTAAGCTTGTGTCTGTGATATGGTGAGCCAAGCTGGGGTAGCTCCAGTGGGGAATGTGGCGCATCAGACGGCCACCGAGCGCTGACCTGACCACCAACGTTCAGGGCTGTGTAATGTTATATCAAGGTCGAATTACATGTTTGATACTCGGAGGCCGACCAGATAAATTTGTAGCAGTGAAAGCAGTGGCAATAGATGCGTTTTGGTCCAGTTAACAGAGTTTAAGCGTCGTATGCCCAAAGAACTTTCGAGATTTAGTGAAAAGGTGATAGCCGTTTACCTAATTCTCTGAGATGCGGATGGTTATAAGAGTCTCTCGTAGACTCGTCCGCAGCAATATGAATGTTTATCATGCTGGTAGGCACCAATAATGACTCTGTGTTGAATATGCATGCAGAAAAGTGATTTAACCATCCGATTATGTAAACCGGGAGTGAGTTGTTGATCTTCCAAACGCCAGCATGATTAGTCAGTTCTTCAAAAGAGACTACACCTTTTTTCCTTCAGTTTGAAAAAGTTGTAGGTAGCTCAATTTGAAAAAGATGTAATTCAATTTGAAAAAGTTGTACTTCAATTTGAAATAAGGTAACTTCAATTTCAAAAAGATGAAATTCTTTTTGAAATAGTTCAAATACAAATAGAAAAAGATATAATTCATCTTGTCAATCAATCGGATCTGTGACGTAATGAAGGATTTACTTCATGTCAATGTGGTGGAAATTTGGCAGCAAATATAGGTATTTGCTCTCAAATATGACGCGGCGCATACAATAACAAATGCGTCTCTGATTGGCTTATTCGTAAATCAAGTGATACTTCACTTGAATGCCTGACAGGCGTTCAAAAGGCAAATGACGTCATCATATTGCCGTTAATGGTTAAGAGATTGGGACTTGCACAGGGAACATTTTCAAATGAAGGGAACGAATTTCTTCAACACCACGAGGCTGCGGGGGTTGCGACCAAGATAGATAGCGGTTTCTGAACCTCGCCGCAAACTTGGCTATCTCAACTTAAACCTAATGTAAAGGTGGGATAGTCCCTTTAAATGAAATTGTCAAGGTTTTAAAATGGAAAACAATGCTGTAGTTTGAAATTCGATGAACTCTTGAGACTGTTGCTAACACATTGGCTAAAACAATTTTTAGGGAACTACTACTACGGTCACAGACCAGAGATCCAGCGTTCTAACTAGATATTCAATGTTCAACCGACAAATCAAATCAGTAGGACTATGTACGATGGTGATACCGATACCGGATGCGAGATCACAGACCAGAGATCCAGCGTTCTAACTAGATATTCAATGTTCAACCGACAAATCAAATCAGTAGGACTATGTACGATGTACGACGTACGTCGACACCCAGGATTTTGCCCAGGAGGGGGTCACCTGTTCTCGAAGGGGCCCGCGAGTCCCCCGGGGGCCCGGGGTCAGCCCAGGCAGGGACGTATCCAGGACCTTTCGATGGGATGGGGGCACAGTCGGTCCGGTCCCACTTGCAGACGGGCCTCTCTTAACGTATCGGGCTCGGAAGAGAACACACTACACATAGTGTGCTGTGCCTGCGGATGTGCCTCAGGGCATGCAATCATGTGCAGACGTACTTCGCTGGGTGCCTCGAGGAACGCGACCACCCGATGGGCGTTTAAAATGTCCCTGCTTAGCTGCGGCTCTGCCGCACCACTGCACTGTTTTCAGCTTTGAAATGTGTGCCCGTGGTCGGGTCGCAGCGGGTCCGACTTCTGTCCGCTGGCAGAGTCGATTACCTGCCCATTCATTCCGATCTCTGTGTCATGGCATCAATACAGATACCAAACATTCGTTTTTGAGATATCTGCGAAAAACGTCAGGGGATGGTGTTCAAACACCCCCCCCCCGGCCAGGCGCGGGTTAATGTACTATTACTCGTAAAGGGGTGGGTGGAGAGCCGGTTAACGTCTTCTAATTCGTAATTTGTTTAATTTGATATAAAAAAATACCCTCCTTACCAGCTACCACACTTCTTAGTACTTACTTGTATGCCCCTATGCATTAGGTACCACGTAACGAAACGAGCAAATGTTTGGTATCTGTATTGATGCCATGACACAGAGATCGGAATGAATGGGCAGGTAATCGACTCTGCCAGCGGACAGAAGTCGGACCCGCTGCGACCCGGCCACGGGCACACATTTCAAAGCTGAAAACAGTGCAGTGGTGCGGCAGAGCCGCAGCTTAGCAGGGACATCTTAAACGCCCATCGGGAGGTCGCGTTCCTCGAGGCACCCAGTGAAGTACAGCCCACCGCTAAAGTAATGTAGGGTTTTACCAATCTCAACGGTTGGCTTTGACTGGCGATTGTTTAATGCGGAGTGATCGAAAAAAAGATGTCAATAGCTAAAGTTGCAGCTGCAAGGGTGACGATACATATAAGCTACATTCAAAGTTTCATTGTAGTCTGGCTAATCGTTCCTAAGCTTCAGAAGCAGAACATACCCATGACTGAAACCCCACATTACTTCTGCTGTGGACTGTACGTCTGCACATGATTGCATGCCCTCAGCCCTGAGGCACATCCGCGGGCACAGCACACTATGTGTAGTGTGTTCTCTTCCAAGCCCGATACGTTTCAAAATGAATTATATCTTTTCTATTTGTATTTTAACTATTTCAAAAATAATTTCATCTTTTTCAAATTGAAGTTACCTTATTTCAAATTAAAGTACAACTTTTTCAAATTGAATTACATCTTTTTCAAATTGTGCTACAACTTTTTCAAACTGAAGGAAAAAAGGTGTAGATGAGCCCATATCAAAGAAGACTGTAAACGAGCTGTTAAACCTGGCTGCGGTCCATCGGCTCTTTGCACCTGGCTGAATTCGCATATCAACTAGAATAACTAAAAATCGGATCGAACAGTTGTATTTCGTCTTTCGTAACCATCCCCGTCTGTCATCCATCGCGCTCCGTATTTCGCCGCACCAAAACTCGGAGATGGCCCCAACACCCCGTGTGCCCCACAGCTTGCCAAGATTATGTGAACCCACGGCCTAGGCTCACACCCCGCGCTGATCAGTCTCCCTCTGTGTCCCCACAGCCCAGACTCACACCCCGTCGCCTTTGGAGCCCGGCCTACCGCCCGGATCGCTGCCTCTCACCCCTGACGAGCTGGAGAGGCGTCAGTTCTACAACACCTACAACGCCTGGACCGGCATCAACATCGCCGCCTCCCTCGGCGGCTTCTTCATGCTCCTCATCCTGCTGCTGCTCTACAAGTCCAAGTGCAAGAGGCGCAGCAAGTACCCGCCCTGTCCCAGTGTGGAAGATGGTGATGTGAGTCTACTCGAGCCGTGGGATGTCACCTTTCTGGGTGGCTCCGTGGCGGACGGTCTCAGTCTCGGCTCGGGCCGACATCCGCACAGTTCAGACTCGACGCCAGCGGGCACGGTGCGGGGCAGTAGACACTCGCTGGCCGGGGGACGGGGTAGCCGCCAGTCGCTGGCCGGGGGAAGGGGCAGTCGGCAGTCATTGGTCGGTAGTAGAAAGTGTGTATGCTCGGCGCCCGGGTCGGTACAGCGCCTGCCGCGGCGGCCCCGGCTATCCTCGGGCGGCTCGTCAGAGGCCGGTCACCAGCTCGAGCTGCGCGTGCACCATCCGAAGCGGCGCGGGCCGCCGCGCTACGCCTACAGCTTCGACGAGAAGGCCGTGGTGCCGGAGAGCTGGTGGCAGCGGGTGGACATCAACGTCATCCAGCCGACTCCGAGCGTCACCCCGTCGGCGAGCCTGCACTGCCTGGCGAGCTCCGACCAGGAGGCGGACGGCGCGGCGCCGCCGCCGCCGCTCACCGTGCCGCGGCTCGACCTGCCCCGGCCGCGGCGCGGCTCCGCGGTCAGCTCCTCCGACCTCACCGACTTCGACGCGCGCAGCATCGGCTCCGACTCGGTGTTCCTGGCCGACGACGACTGGTCATCGTGCTCGGAGGCGGCCAGTCCGTCGCGCGGCCGGCGCCGCTGGCCGCTCTCGCGCCAGGCCAGTGTGTGTCTGGAGGACGACCTGATCCCCGAGCTGGAGGAGGCGCCGCTGCCGCCGCCGCGCTCGCCGCCGCGCACCGAGCTGCTCTACGTGCCGGGCATGGAGCCGGGCCTGCTGCGCGCCGCGCGGCCGGACGGCGGCGGCTCGCCGCGGCCCAGCTCGCCGCAGTTCCTCACCGTGCCCAGCGTGCACGGCGCGCCGCGATCGCCGCCCGCGCGCCGCTCACCCAACTTCCTCTCACCGCCGTCACCGACGTACGGACCGGCCAGGTCCATGAGCCCGCCGCCGCCGGCGACAGTCAGCCCGGCCGGCCGCACCCGGCGGCTCGGCGTCGTCGGCAGACAGCCCTCCATCTGCCAAAGTGTGTCGCTGTCGTCTTCGTCGTCGTCTTCGACGGCGTCACTGCACCCGGCGTCGGAGCCGGCAGCGCCACCTAGCGGAGAGGAAGCCAGACTGGTGGTGGAGGCTACCGCAGAGGGAGGGGCCAAGGAGGCCGGCGCTGGAGCCGAGACCGCACCGAGGACTGTCAGCGAGAGCAGCCTCGTGACGCCAGCGACCGAGCGATCCAGTGACGTCATAAATCCTCCTAATGACCTCAGTATAACAGACGAGGGAGCTGCGGCTGCTGGCAGGCAAAACTCAGAGGCCGACCAGTCATCCTTTGAACTAGTTCTTTCCGTACCCGTGATCACGCCGCCGCAGCCTGCGAGTCCCTGCTCACCCACAACGGAAGAGCCACCTAGTGAGAGGCGGAGGCCAGTGAACGATAACCTTGACGATTCTCCTACAGAGGGCTCTGTTTCGTTAGTGGTACCGGTAACGGACTCTGGTGGAAACTCGCGTGATCGCGCAGAAACCTCCTTCTGAAACTTGAGAAGTTATAAAGCGACTTTTTGTGTATCGCTAGGCAGTGACTTTGGCCAGTGCACGCTCAGTCCTTCAGTGTTATCCCTCACTGTGGCGTACCAGAGTTTGATAGTTCACAATTCACGCTTACAAGAACAGCAGGTGTCTGTGCAACGAAACGCTCGAGTACATTGGAACATTGGTACGGATGTTTTACAGAAGAGCGGTACGAGCTGATAGTGCTCAACTTAGTGCAAAACCCTCCAGCAGAGCACCGCGGGTGTGACATTGAACGCTGCGCGGCTCCCCGCTTTATCTGTCCCGCACATGACCCGAGCCTGTCGGAGCCGCAGTGTCCCAGGATGCCTCGGTAGCGCCACCCATATCAAAACTTGATATTTTCCTATCACTGAGACGGTATATGTGACGAATGTTCCTCGCGGTGCGATATTCTAGTAGCTGGTAGGAGCTGTTGGAAGACGCGTGTGGTATTTTTACGGTGTCGTGTACCACAGAGGCAATATACTCGGTGCGCTGTTAGAACGATGGCGCACATTGAACTGGGACCGTGTCGGCGCTTCATGTTTCAATGCTGTTGACGAGAAATGCTGAGTGTTACTGCTGTCATAGGCAGGGTTGTGCTTGACACATGAGTCGAGTCAGAGATTTGACTCAACTCTGACTCAGATGAGTCAGGTTTGAGTCGAGTCGGATAAAATGTTGAGATGTTGAGTTGAGTCAGAGTTGAGTCAGTAAAATAACTTTTGACATTGAGTTGAGTCAAAAACATTTAGGAACATGAGTCAGCTGACTCATCTTTCTAGAAACAATATATAAGCTTTTCATTCTCCCCCCGCTTAACAACTTAGGCCTGGCTGGCCCTGCTGCCGGATTTTTTTTTCATTCCCCCCCTGCTCAACAACTTTTTTATCTGAGTCAATTTTGAGTCAACACACTTGACTCAACAAAAAATTTGAGTCAAGTTTGAGTCAACTCATATTTTCATTGAGCCGCTTGAGTCATGAGTCGAGTCAAGGGAAAAAATCAGCTCCTTGTTTGAGTCAGAGTTGAGTCAGGGCTTTCTGAAGTTGAATGATGAGTCGAGTCGGCAATTTTTTTTTAGTCGAGCACAACCCTGGTCATAGGAAGACTATGTTTCTCGGCTGCTGTCAATGAAGCCATTCGCACTGTCCGCACTGACGAGTTCCCGTCACAAACACCTGCCTTCATCTTGAATTCGTGAGCCACCCTTTCTTTCTTGGCTACATTTATTATCATTATTTGTTATATAGCTACGATAGACGAGAAGCAACTGTGTTTGACCGAGAGTTAGGTGCACGATTGTTGGCCGTTGTTAATTGCGTTTGTTGCTATCATCGCGCGGTTGTTATCACTATCAGTATCACATGCCCGGAGCGATGTGATGTGTTGTTATGTTGGTATGAACATGTCCGGCACTGAAGTCATCAAGCCGTAAACTGAGTTATTGATGTGTGCTACTGACTGGTTATTGTATTTTTGTTGAATTACATGGGAGACAATGACAATATTTAGTGTTGGCACGCACAAATGCACGTTTTGAAACAAAATAGCACTTAATTGGAGCCTTCAAAGGAACAAAACATGCGTCAAACACTAGAATATAGTTCACACATGTATTTGTATGCGTTACACAAGCATCCGCCTTGTATAATCGACAAATAACGATAATAAATAAACGGATCGTACAAAAGTTGCACTCTGAAGTAATACCACAGCTCTCAAAATGGCACAGGACTCCAACTCTGTTGCAGCAGATGATGTTCTGACGGTAGTGTTGAACTACAACCCAATGCGCAGACGGGCTCATAAGAAACAGCGCAACACACTACGAGTAGATAGCATTGGTGTGCCCAAAGTGGTGCGCTCACCAGCAACTGAATCGTGAAAATATAACTAATTTGATCAGCGCATTACAGCCACGCAAAGGCAGATTGGTTTTGGACAACATCAGAAACGTCACTATATAGCAGCTATGCAAAAAAGAACGGAAGAATGTCTTTTAAAAAGGCAGGGTTGCAACAGGCAACACCTGCAAAATGCTACAATTATTGCAATGTATTTTAGACGTAGTAGTAAGGGCTGGATTCCACTGTTTGTTTTCTATATCATGTCCTGTGATCCCACGTAGGAAAACCTAATGACTAACAAATTATCCCGACAGAAACACGCACAATATTATCCCACCCCACAGTCATCACTATTGCTCATTCGTGGAGGACCCTTCGTCACGAATACAGCCGATAAACACAAACAAAAATCAGCTCCAGAAACCAAGAGCGCTGATCACAACTGAGATTCTAACTGTTCGAGAGCATGTCGCTCCTGTCCCACATGTAAACAAGCATAAAGGAAAGAGTTCACCCTGAAGACAATTACTTGGCTAATAAACCAATCTTAAAATATCCTGAATTTTCGGGGCTCAGGACGGCCTTAAGTAGCGAAAGAGAAAAAAAAAACGTGAATTGAAACACTTATTACTGCGGCACGATAACACCTAGCCATTCCAGGATTAGATCAGTTATGCAAAAAAGCAAAAGGCTTCAGTCTGGATCTCGGGAAAATATTTGATTGATGTCGCTGAATACAACATTGGATTTCATGTAATTGATAATCATTTAGTCGAAAAGGACCATAAACTTTGGTTTTATCAAAACATTTTGTTAAATTTGTTTCCTTCAAATTAACGGTTTCAATTCACGTCCTAAATGTAAACTATTTCCTTTAAGCCATTGGCGAGCGCACGTTGAGCACGCATCAGCCCGAGAAACTATACATTATACAATCTAAAAATATCACGACTAACGTATACGGACGATGAAAATAAATATCACACTCGATCGAAACTATGTGTCATGGTCGACCACAACTGATAGACAAGGAGAAAAATATAAATATAAGGCAGCATGCGGTATCCAAAATTCTACGGCGGCCCGATTAACTACTCGGCTCACCTACGAACGCCCCCTCCCGCCGACCAGCAGCAGCCCGATCCCAGCGCCCCTGGCGGCCGCGCACAGAACCTCAGTTTCCGTGGGCGGCCACTCACACCGTCTGGTACAGAAGGAACTGCTGCAGCTCCCTGGGGAGCTCCAGCAGGGCGGCGCCGTGCCGCAGCCGGCGGCCCATCGCCCGCCGGATGGCGTCACGGGTGAGGGCGAGCAGGGGACGCGGCGCGCGCGCCAGCAGCAGCAGCTGCTCGCGCTGGCGCTCGGAGAGGGCGCGACTGCGCCGCAGGATGGGCGGGTCGAATGAGTCGGCGCTGGAGGCGAGCACCTCGTACAGGCCGGCCAGCTCGTGCAGGTCCGGCAGCGAGTTGAGCAGGCCCATCGGGTCCCGGAACTGGCTCTTCAGGACGACCTGTCGGAGAGAGGTAAGTAAGTACAAGTCAAAGGTATTAAGGCGGACGGACGGACATGACAGTCGGGAGGAAGATACAGGTCAGTTGAATGATCAGTTCTTGCAGCGGGATATTGTAGGGCACAGGCTATGATTTAGCTTACTCTCTTTCCAAACCACACACCCCGACTCACTCTAGTCTTCCTCCCATCAGAGCCACCCCCACCCCACGCTCCTCCCCTCCCTCCCCCACGGCTCCTCACCCTGGTGCCGTGCTGGAGCAGCAGCTGGATCACCTCCATGGACAGGTCCTGCCGGTTGGACTGCAGGTACTCGCCCAGCACGGGCCGCAGGAAGTAGCCATCCTCCGATTTGACCACTACATTGGGGTCGGCGCCGGCGGCCAGCAGCAGCTCCAGCAGCACGGAGCGGTTCTCGATGTACTCGGAGCACGCCACGTGCAGCGGCGAGCCGATGATGGGTGAGTGAGCGTTCACGTCAGCTCCTAATGAGAACGAAGGAACGGAATATAACTGCTATGACATCACTTTCATCACAACTCAATCAAATAATCGAATAATAATAAGCTGATAAGCCGGTAAATAGAGACATAAACAATTCATATATTTCAATAGGTTTTTCATCCTTACAAACAAAACCAACTTGAGTTTATTTCCACTGATGGCTATACACCTGTACCTATACTGTATAGGTATGCGTGAGCCTCCGATCCCACTCACCTAAATCGATGAGCAGACGGACCATGTCCACGTCTCCCTTGATGATGGCCAGGTCGAGCGGCGTGGGCTTCTCGTAGTCACACGGATAGTTGACGCGCGCCCCGCTACGCACTAGGAAGCGCACCGTGTCCCGCTGACCCGACATGACCGCGTAGTGCAGCACCGTGCGGAAGTCGTGTCGCTCCCCAGCCGTGCTGTTGACGTCCCCGCCGTACTGGACGTACAGCTTTACGGCCGGAAGACCCTGCGAAGGGTGGAGCGGGGGAGGGAGAGGTTAGTGGGTGGCTGGGATCGGGACCGACGGGAGGTGTCTCCACGAGGTCGGTAACAAATCAGAGCATGAAAGTGAGAAAACAAAAGTGGTTAATTGTGTACATAACATTGTATGAGACCGAAGACGTGTTCCTCTTATAACACGGGACATCCTGCAGGTAATCATTTCGGTTTTTGTCACAGATCAGTTATGACATCAA